AAACTGTAACCAATTCTCCTCACTAATTTGATACTTTAGACAGGGAGATTCATCTTGAAACTTTCCAAATACATACTCCCGTGTCAAGAAAGTCTTAAAGTCCCTCCATCTAATGGCAATGGAGGATAAAATCTTCTTCCTCATCACCTCGATGTTAGGAACATCAAAATTTTGCTGTGAAATGACCAATAAATGTTAAATTCAATTAATAATGATATATAAAGTATTCAACAAATATAGAAATACCTGAACATCCTGCCACATGAGGTTCTTCTCGGTTTCCTCTACATCATCCCAAGATGGAGTAGTAATCGGAACATGGTGTCGAGCTAGTAGTCCCAAATAGCTCTTAAACTTAGCGACATTTGGGCCGGATGCCTTACCAGAACGTGGATCAACTTCAACTTGAGTTTTCTCTCTAGCTACCGTCCTGCTCGTCAACCCCTTTAACCGAGTGACAGATCTACCTTTACCTCCACTTCCGCTCCTACCACTACCAGTACCAGATGTGGAATCCGACATATCCTGAAAAATAAAACAATATGAAGTCAACATACTTTATAAGTTTGAATAAAAAGAACTAAAAAATGTGAAGATAAACACCTATTATGATGGTATGTTTTCCCATATCCCTTCATCATGATCACTTCGAATTGCATGTATGTCATCAACTTCATTGTCAACTATGTCATCAAATGGTCTACTTGAAAATGAAGGTGTTTCATGTATATCTAGAGACTCATCTTCATGAATTTCGTGCATGCTTCTTCCTTCAAGGACAAATGACCATCTCTCATTACATGGATCCTTGACATAAAATATTTGTCTCGCTTGATATGCCAAAATAAAAGGTTCATCCTTATACCCAACTTTACTCAAATCAACCAAAGTAAATCCTAGGTCATCTGTTCGCACGCCCGTATTCCCTTCAACCCATTTACACTTGAAGACAGGCACCCTAAAAGTAACATAATCAATTTCCCATATCTCTTGTATGACCCCAAAATAACTCATAGAAGCTGTGATAGGATTTTTGTCTTTAGAACTAGAAAAATGCATAGATTCAGCTTGAATTGTGACGCCACTATTTTGTACTCTACCTTTATCATCTTCTATTTTTGAGTAGAAACAATAATTATTAATGTCATACCCACCAAATGTACTACTTAAATTTCCATAAGGATTCATCCCATATGTAGCTAATCCAATTCTCAAGTTTCTTGGCTCTGCACCAAATTTTGGAAAGGTTTCATCAATCCTTTTCCATTGTGGAGAATCAGCTGGATGTCGAAGAAGATTGTCACATTTTCTACCATTTGCATGCCATGTCAAGTTTCTTGCATCTTCTTTTATGGCAAATAATCTTTTAAACCTAGGTATAATTGGCAAATACCATAACACCTTAGCAAGGGGACCATCTAGTTCTTCCTCACCACTACTTTCCTCAACTTTGTTTTTGAACCTTGACAAACCACATGTCGGACACATCTTTAATTTAGCAAAATCGTTTCTGTACAATATACAATCATTAGGACATGCATGTATCTTCTTGTACTCTAAACCCATTGGACATAATATTTTCTTTGTCTCATAGTTACGAATAGGTAATGTATTATCTTCAGGAAGCATCTCCTTCAACAACTCCAATAATTCGGTGAAACTTTTATCAGTCCATCCATTTCTTGCTTTTAAAGTAAACAATTTTAAAGTTGCTGATAATTTTGTAAAACTACATCCTATGTACAATTATTGCACAAAATCAGATTTCAAAGAATCATATAGTCGTGCTTTCATAAAAATTTTTTCACCAATATCACGTATCATATCCTCTAGATTATCATCCATCCCTTCATCAAAATTTTCTGTAGTTGACACAGTTGGGATGTCTAATATTTCTCCATGCCATGTCCATATTGTATAACTCCTAATAATACCATAAACAAACAAGTGATCACGTATATCCTCAAGTTTATGACGAATTTGATTCAAACAATGAACACATGAACAATAATATGTCCCTTTCATATCTTTTCCATTTTCACTAGCAAATTTCAAAAATTTCTCAACTCCCTTTTCGTACTCTTCCCTAATATGACGTGCATTCATCCAACTTCGATTCATATTATGTTATAAAGTTTCGTCACTCCTAGAGATTTAAAAATTATATGTAAAAAGAAATTAATATACAAACAACAAAGCACGTAAATGGAGTGTGTAAACCGAAAATGCACTCAAACAAATAATTACATTCCAATAACAATCCAGTGGAGACATTCATACAACGTGATTGAGATCCCCAAAAACAATCACGGATTCAATTTAAACATATAGCAATGACATAGAACACTAACCTCGAGTGTAGACGAAAAATGATTTCAAACTCGAATCCAATCGGGGAGAAATATCAAGTTCGTCAAATGACACACAATGGTGATGTTTTTCACTGTCAAACTGATTGAAAATGGTGTGCAGAGGTAGCTGTTGTCATCGTTCTCGTCGTCGTTCTCAAAAACCCTTGTTGCGCGAGACCAGGGAGTGGGTTTGGAGGGAAATAAAAGAGACTTTTTACATCGCACACCCCAGCATGCGACGTAAAAAGTCTCTTTTACGTCGCGCCACGTAGGTGCGACGTAAAAAAGGCTTTTTACGTCGCATGCTGGGGTGTGCGACGTAAAAGTTTTGTCTCTTATTTACAAAATTGTCACCGCGTTTTATTTACGTCGAATATTTTTACATGCGACGACAATTGGGTGACGTAAAAGCCTCTTTTTGCACTAGTGATAATCAATATCCTTCTAACCCAAATGGAGAACTCTCCCTTTGCAAATCTTATAATTATCATCTTTCAACTAGGGAATATCACACTTGATACCAGAAATTCATAAATTGTGAAACTACAAAATTTAAAATTCATATTCATTATCACAATTTGATACTATAATAAATGCCATATTTCATCAGCATAAACCATATCTTAATTTATGAATCTAGCGACATAAAATTTGTTGTAAGCTAAAATTCTACCCAATTATATTCATATAATCTTATAACAAAACTATTTGATTATCTTCCTTTTCTTAATTCCCGTGGATATTTAAAAAATATAATCCAATATTTTATCCTAATTAATCATATAAATGTAAGAAAAATTCCTATAAATATATTTTATTACACCATATACAATTAATTATAATTAATATTTATAATATGATTATAAATATTAATCAATTAAAGATATTGTTGATTTTTTTCTAATTTATTGAAATTATATCCATCAAGAACTAAATAATTGTATTAACATTTTCTACAATACAACAAAAATAAACAATAATCAATAATGTTACATAAATATAATTTGACATTGTTATATATATATATATATATATATATATATATATATATATATATATATATATATATATATATATATATATCAACCATAATATACAGTTAAATATATAACTTGTTAGAAAGCATATAAATATAATGTTTGTAGGCTAGTAGTTATTTTAGCTTACAAACCTCCTCCTAATCCTGATAATCCAAGAATGGTGACATGCGAGACTTCAGTATTCCAAACTTACTTTCTCAAGCACAACTACTTAGTTTAATAATCATATTAAGAATATGCAGAGCTCCCGACACAGTGGTATCAGAGCCTAACTGTTGCCTACTATTCCTTTATTTATTCTTTTCATCGGGGAACATAGTATAATAGTTAAAGAAAGATGAGTAAGGAGAGAACCCAAACCACCATGACCGATCATCAACTTGATACCCCACGACCATCTATAAGCCACTCTTCTAAAATAAACCTCACTATTCCAAAGTCCTGTAAAGAAACCCTAAGTCATAGGTTAGAAAATCTTATCGAGTATTCTCGAATCCCAGAAGATGCCCAAATAGAAAGTTCCTTATCACCCCTACTAAGTCCATATAATGTCTTTAGAAGAAATAAAGGAAGATTTTCCTGGAATGTAAAAAATCTGATATCCACTCCCAGACCAGGAGTAAAAGAAATTATCCAAACCGCAAAAATGGATAATTGTGCTCTCAATGCTACTTCGGCAGAACAATATGTAGATCTGGAGATAGAACCTTCTCTCATCAAACTCTGGCAAAGAGAAGGATATGTGGCTCTTCATTTTGGAGCAGTCAGGCTGGTGCTTACCCTTCATGGAAGAAAAGGCTTGCCAGTAACCGTTAGAGTCTCTCTAATAGACTCAACATTCCAAAAATATGAACATGCTGTTATTGGAACAGTCTTGACTACGTTAAACTCAGGAAGTGTGGTTTTGACCATGTTTCCAAATTTCTGTGTACAATTAAAAGACCCAACTCTTCCAAAGAGATTCCGGGTACAAGTCCAGATTGTCGGAGCACCCCAGGATGAAAGTGCTATGGCAGCCACTCTCCATCACCAGTTGATTTTCAGAATCCAAGATCACTGTTATGATCTACCAACAGAATCACCATTTGCAGAAAATGCTCTAATGGTGATCTCAAATACTGAAGAACATACTCCTTCCATAATCCAAATTCTCAGACAAATCCCTCGGGAAGAGCTTGAGCAACTAATCCCCAGAGAATGGATTAGCAATTATGAAAATTTCAAGAAGAATCAATCACCAATCATCAAGACGGATCATGCATTTAGAAGGCTTCCAGACGGAACAGTAAAAACTATCTTCAAAAAGAAAAATGATGAAGAGTCATCATCTTCAACGGTCTTCACGACCATGATGATTACTTTGGGAGATAAAGAACGAAAGATTTCGGTACATTCCTTCCGACCAGATGGAAAACCCATTTATTCAGATAAAATAAATGGACATTTCATATGGAATGTAAATCCAGACATGTGTGACCCAGAATGCCCTTGCACAGAAACATTTGATGATTCTAGTGATGATGATGATTCAACAGAAGAAGAAGACAGTAATGATGATGAGGATGATGAGGAAATTTACAAACCTCCTCCTAATCCTGATAATCCAAGAATGGTGACTTCTTGCCAACCACTGCCAATATACGAAAAGATTTTGAAAGCCTTGAAAGAAAATTATGAGCACTACTACCAAGAAAAAATGACAAAAGCACCTCAGCCAATACAAACTCAATGTTGTATGATGTTGTCTTCTGAAGAAGAATTTCCTAGTCTGCGACGAGGAAATCCACAAGAAGAAACTGTAATGAAACCTTTCATTTACAGCAAGGAAGTGACAGCAGAAGGAACAAAGAAACCTATCTCTCAGGCAGAAGAAGTACTAAACTGGCAAACAAAAAATGCTTTACCCCAGAATAGCCTACTACAAAAGATTGAAAGAAAAATGGATAAAATTGAATTATCCATAGAAAAGGAGATCGGAGGCATGAATTCCAGGCTACAAAAGCATTATGCAGAATTGAAGGAGAAGATGGAAAGACTTGAAGAAGAAACAAGGAAAATTAAAGAAACAAGAAGATTCAACAACTTGCTCGTTGAAAAAGAAAGAGAGTTACAAAAAACCAGAGAGCAGTATGAAGAACTTGTCCAATATGTAGGAGAGAAAAAGAAGATTCCCATCTTCGAAGATGAACCTTACTATATAAGACCATCAAAAGTATTTCCAACGATTTCAAGACAATCTCTTAAACCAACTCCACTTTTTCCCCCAAAAAACTCTCCACCAAGACACAGAGATTAGTCTAGAGAAAAAAGAAAAGAGAAAGAATCTGAAGAAGAAATCTCTCCTGAACCTACACCTGAACCTTCTCCTAAGAAAACAGAAGTCTCTTTTGATGAGAAAGCCTTTCAAGATGTCCAAGACCCTTATTCTCAGTACACAATCCATCATATCATTTCTCATCCTGAACTTAAGACTAAAGACCAGTCAGATGATTCAATTACTTCTTCTGATGAAGAATCAGTAGAATCCTTTGAAGCAACCACTGAAACAGAAGAAGTAGAAGTGAACCATACTTTCATGGCAAATGATACAGATCAACCTTTTGCTGAAAGAACGAGACTACATAATCAAGAAGTCAACACTCCACATCCAACCAACAACATGCTATTCACAATTGACAACATTCTCCCATCTCAATGGAGGAAAAAGTTCCTAGACTTCAAAGCATGGTTAGATACAAAAATGGTGAACCCAGGAGCAGATAGATACAAAGTTATAGAAGAATTCTGTGCAGGCATGACAGGAATTCTTAAAGAATGGTACATCACCCTGGGAACAGTCAATCAAGAGAGTCTTCATAATTCTACCATTGAAGAAGTTATTGGGGCATTACAATTCTATTTCTTAGGAAATGCAACATTATTAGATCAAGAGTCCAGAAGAGAATTCTTTGAAATGAAGTGTTGTTCTTTAGAAAAGAAAGATCTTGACAGACATTATCTAAGAATGTCTCAAAGGTTTTATCAGCTCAACGGAGTCAATGATCCCAGTCTCAAAAACACTTTTGTAAGTTCTCTACCAGAAGAATTACAAGATGAAATGTGGAGGATACTTCAACAAACAAATAAAGAAATTTTGCAGATGACTATGGGAGAAATCTATCAAACTTGCATTGCGGCTAAAGAAAAATTATGCAGTCAACAAAAAATGTTCAGCAAGATGGCATCAGATCAAAAGAAATACAAGAAAACCTGCAAGAAGAAATATTTGCAGATCCAATGCAAAGAAGATGGTTGTTATTGCAAAAACAAAAAACAAAAAAGGTTTCCTCCCAAAACCAAATTCAAGCTGAAGAAAGGAAAGAAATACAGATTCTTCAAGAACAAACCCTTCAGAGGAAAAGGAAACAATCTGAGATATCATATCTGCAAGCAGAAAGGACACTTTGCAAAGAATTGTCCAAACAAAAGAGAAAAATCTGCGAAGCTGACAGAACTCTTCTTAACCAGGAGAAGAAGATGATTTAGAATCACTATATGAAGAACAACTGGAACCAGATGACCAGACAGTATTTGCCATTGCTGATTCAGAAGAAAGTTCAGAAGAATCTAGCAGTGAAGAACATTTTCCTGTGTTAAAAATTCAAGAAGTCAATGCCACAGAACCAGAGATTCCTTCTCTTCCCAATGCAGAAATATCCATTTTCCCCTCCAAGTATGATGTTCCAATTAAAGCTATAGGATTTATAGATACTGGCTCAACAAGGACGATGATGAATCCTATAATTCTTCCAGCTAAACTATGGACAAATAATATCCATAAGTTTAGAGCAGCAAATGGAGAAGTATTCCAGACAACCTTGATGACCAAACAGAAGATAGGAATTCAGTTTTTCCCTGGCTGTACAGTCTGGATAAAGGTAATTGGAAATGATAAACATGGAAAAGATGTTCTGATAGGAAGAGATGTTCTAATTCAAATTCGCAAGCTGCAGATATTATCTGATGGTCTCAAGTTCAAAAGACTGACAAAACCTTTTGTGCCAATTCCAAACTTATTTACATTGGCAGATGTTCCTCCTGGATATGAAGAAATCAGAAACAAATTACTCAAATTGTGTGCAGAAAGCCATAATCTTTTCACTCATCCAAATCCTTTATGGAAACGAAAAGAGTTCTTTGTTACACTTCCTTTCAAGAAAAGTGAAGATGTCAATCCAACGAAAGCAAGCCATCCAGGAATGAGTCCATCTGATTACCAGGCAGCCCAAGAAGAATGTCAACAACTATTAAAACAAGGCCTCATTGAGCCTACCAAATCGATTGGGCTGTCTCGACCTTTTATGTCAACAAAAGGTCGGAACAAATTCGACAAAAGAAGAGACTTGTTATTGATTACAGATCATTAAACCTATTCATCAAAGATGACAAGTTTCCATTACCCAAAATCTACTCTCTCCACTCCTATATCAAAGATGCCTATTTCTTCTCAAAGTTTGACTTAAAATCGAGCTTCGGCAATTGGGCCTTGACCCTAAAGACGAGATCCAAAACAACCTTCGAGTATCCCAAATGCCCATTACCAATGGACTGTCCTCCCTTTTGGTTTAAAAGTAGCCCCATCACTTTTCCAAAAAACTATGGTTCGAATCTTTGAACCCATCCTTCACAGTGCTTCTAGTTTACATTGATGATATTACTGCTATTCTCATACACGAAGCCGATCACAAGCTTTTGCTTCAAGAATTCCATGATCTTTGTCACAAATATGGAGTGATGCTCTCAGAAAAGAAATCGAAGTTGGAGTCAAAGAAATAGATTTTCTTGGAATGCATTTCTTTCACGGAAGATATGTTCCTCAACCACACATTGTAGAAAATCTACCACAATTCCCTGATGAGAATATGACGAGTAAAAGAGATCCAACAATTCCTAGAAATTCTAAACTATGTGAGAAACTTCATTCCAAACATAGCGATCTACACCTCCAAGCTTTCAAAGATCTTGAAAAAGAATCCTCCTCCATGGGGAACGAGAACAAGCGAAGCGAGTTAGAATTCTGAAAAAGATTGCTCAAGATCCTCCAGCATTAAAAATTCCTGGAGAAGGAAAAAGAATATTGCAAACAGATGCTAGTGACCATTTTTGGAGTGTTGTATTGATTGAAGAACTTGAAGACAAAAAATTTTACTGTGGACATGCCAGCGGAACATTCAAAGAAACAGAGTTACATTATCACACGGTGTTCAAAGAAACTTTGGCAGTTAAATATGGAATTCAAAAATTTGACTTCCATCTCAGAGGACATCAATTTGAAGTCCATTTGGACAACTCAGCATTTCCAAAGATGCTTGATTTCAAGAACAGAGTACCACCAAACCCTCAGATACTCCGCCTAAAAGAATGGTTTTCCCGATATGATTTCACAGTCAAACACATAAAAGGAAATATCAACATTGTCCCTGATTATCTGAGTCGACCAAAACTTGCACCAATCCATATCATTTCATCAACCAATTCCTACCCGCTTATCCTCATGCAAAACCCATCTTCCTCTTCTAATCCTTATCCTCAAAATCCATTTCCACCGGAGATAAGAGTTGATTTCATAAAAACTCCTGCAACTTTGCAACAGTTTGCTAGACAAAATTTGTTCTCATAACTAGCAAATTCATTACAAAACCATCAGATATCTCCAAAACAAAATTGGTTCAACCCAGACACTCCTTTTCTGAATATCTTTGCTATTCTTATGGGAGAAGAATTCACAGAAAATGATCAATGGTACTTATGGTGTGTCTCAATCCTGCACCATTATCCAATTATCTTCCCAACAAAGAAGATGTTAAAAAGGCTGAATGAAGACAATTCCAGTTTATTAATTAAGTTTTTAAGCTGGTACCAACCAATTTCTCTGTGGATCAATGCTATCAATGAAGAACTAAATAGAACACAAAGACAAATGACAGCTTGGAATCCAGAACATTTCATCACAGTTGCTATAATTCACAGGCCATATTTTGCACATCCAGAATCATATGAACTGTGGACGCAAAATCAAGTCAGAATTTGGTCAACATTTCCAAGGTTAAAGATTTTTACTCAACAAGATCAACCTCCGTTCTATCAAAGTGAATTAATCATAGAGTTGCACAGACTTAATGGAACATTCTCAGAAATGATCAACAAAAATTCCACGTGTTCACATTTAAAGCCGTTAGATATAATCTGCAAACCAGACGGAGACACTGGACCTTTCCATGATCAAGAAGAAAGAGTGATGCCACTTGTCAATATCCAAGAAAGCAGACAAATGCACATGGAATCGGCAAACATTGAAGGACAAATTATCATGATAAAAGATGATAATGATGAAGACTTTATGATAGACATGGAAGACTCTGACTCAGATGATCCAAATCTGTCACCAAGTCATGAACCCATTTTCAAATGATGTGACATAAAGAAATCATAAAGAAGACTTATGTGACATAAAGGTGCCAACAAGATATGGTAGGTGTGTTATAAAGATATCGACCAGATATAAAGTTAAGATAATATTGTAAGAAAAATCAATGTAAATTATTTATGAGTGTTTGTCTGTATATGCCTTCCTTTGGTTATAAAAGAGAAGGTACTCAGTCTTTGTAAGATATCGAAAATCAGAAATAAACTTGAGTGTTTTCCTTACCCATGAGTTTCTAAGTTCTTAGTTTTCTCTCCTGAAAGTCCTTATTTTTCTATTATACTATTGTTCTTCTAACTCGATGAAGATATATTGGCTGGAAAAGCGGAGAACCTCTGTTGGTTTTATACCTAATTACAGAGTGAGGCCTTCAAGCCTATTCTCTGCAGACTCCCTTCACCGGGATAAGTCACAACAACGCCTCGTATCTATATCAGGTGAGATGAAGAATAAAGGAATAGTAAAATCTAGCATAGATGAGTATGCTCTGTACTTGCCTCATATGAGGATCTTGTACATCAGAAAGTTTATGTGATCGGTCATGGTGGTTTGGGTTCTCTCCTTACTCATCCTCATGATGATCTGGATCACATAAACTTTCTGATGTACAAGATCCTCATATGAGGCGAGTACAGAGCATACTCATCTATGCTAGATTTTACTATTCCTTTATTCTTCATCTCACCTGATATAGATACGAGGCGTTGTTGTGACTTATCCCGGTGAAGAGAGTCTGCAGAGAATAGGCTTGAAGGCCTCGCTCTGTAATTAGGTATAAAACCAACAGAGGTTCTCCGTTTTTCCAGCTAATATATCTTCATCGAGTTAGAAGA